ATCAACCAGATATCTCTTCGCGTCGGCGTGGTCGAGGTGTCTCCCGGTATATGTGGCGCCCTTTCCCCCAACTGCGAGGCCATCAAGGTCGATGCCTTCAGGCAGGACTGGGTGAGATGGGGTTACCTGTACCTCTTTTCCTCAGTTCAGCTGTTGCTCCAGGTCCTGGCTTGCTTGGAGACTTACCAGGGGAGAGTTTCCCTTCTGGTTCCTTGGTAGCCAGCCCAGCCTTGGTTTCAGGCGTTGCTTGCTCGGCGTCCAAACCTGAAGGTTTTCCCGCGGCTCTGCCTCATTCAGCAGATCAGTCCAGCTTGGTACGAGGCTGGTGCGTTCTTCTCCTTGAGTCTTCGTGTCTGGAGTTTCTGACTTGAGTCTAATATCACTTGTATGGGGCGCAGGTGGCTTCGTTGTTGGTCTCCCACCTGCATGATTCGTCTTGGCGGCAGTATGAAGTTTCCTGGTGGTCTTCCTGGTTTTTCCTATCACTGCATAAGTGTACTTTGGTCTCTGATAAGGTTGTCATGTCCTTCATTTTGTGGTTGTTCCAGGACCATCATATTTTGTCGAATACTGTCGCCTCGTATTGTGCGGAGCTGGTGAAGCCGCTCCAGCTGGCGTTCGGTATTGATGTTACTTCTGTGCCGTTCCACAAGCTATCTCGTGCGCTGTTTCACCTCAGGACCTGCTCATGCACCGCCTGAGTCGTTCTGGTCTTTGGACTGGTTCTCTTTTTCTCTCTCTTCCTCCGTGTGTAGTGTCCCCTTCGGTTCAGGATTGTTTTTCTAATGCTCGTTTTCTGTTGGCAATGGCCTCTGAGGGTTGGGTCTGGGAGTTTCTTGCTTTCCTCTGGTGCAGGAGTTTCTGCTCTTTCGGTCCTGGTGGTTGGTTTGTTCGGTTGCAGCTGTCCACTTCTTTTCTGGTGAAGAATGAGACTGCTGCGTTCCAGAGGGGTCCTTGGGTTGTTGATGCTTGGTTGATTTGGCCGGGGGTGCATCATGTGTTGTGGCCGGTTGCGACTCTCAGCTGTTATTTGGTCGGGGATGCGCTTTGGGTTGACCCAGTTTCCCTTCTTCCCTGTTCCCGGGCTCGGGTCCCGGATTCTCCCAGGTCGTCTGCAGGGTTATTAAGTCTAGCCAGTCTGCGGTCTATCCTCATGCCCCACGACATTCATCAGTTTGCTTCTTTGGCTGCCGTCTTTGACAACATATCTTGGGTTGACATTTGAGCACGGGGTTTTTGCAGGTCAAACAGGGTCGCTGTTTGACCATTTGGCCGCTCGCTACCTTGTCAGTGTCCCCTGGACGTGGTAGGGCCTGCGTTACATTGGGTCGGCAGGTTGCAGCCAGTTGTCTCCACTTTGCGTTGACGAGTGAGGACTGACCGCCTCCTCGGTACATCCCTGTGTTTTTCCTTGTGTTTGGGTAGTTAGCTCTGGGGAGCCGACGAAGCTCCTCTCAGAAACCCAGCATTGAATTTAATGAAACACTATTTTCTGGGCAAGTCCCGGAGGCTCCCCGACATCCCTCCCTCCCTCTGGTCGGCGGTGTTTTTCACATGTTTTTGACATCCAGCCTAAGAAATAGTGGTTAGATAGCCAGCACAAGGGTCTTGGGCTTCCCCCCTGGGGACTGGAGGAGGGGGGGGGGGGTGAGCAGACAGCGGAGCGGCAACGTGATGACGTCATGTTCATTTGCTAATTTTCATTTGGGAAGTTCTCTACACTAGTTTGACTTTTGGTAGCAATATTTAAACCAGAATAGGGGTTTGTTTTTGGGCGCCTACCTTTCTGGGTGCCAGACCCAATCAATGGCAGACATAGAATGCTCCCAACCACACGGGGGTTTCTATAGGCCATTGCTTCTCATGCCTTTCTGATGGGTCCAAGTTCTGGCTCGTGGATCCCGGTAGGCAAGAACTCCATGCACATTGACTGATGCCAGAAAACTGATATATCCAAATCAGCCTGGATAGTTCCCGGGACTCGCCCCAAAAAAGGAATTTCATTACATTCAATTCTGTTTTTTGTAGAGTAGGTAGTAGTTTTTTGTTTTTGTTTTTTCTACAACTTTGTAAAGTTGTAGAAAAAACAAAAACAAAAAACTACTACCTACTCTACAAAAAACAGAATAGAAAAAAAACACCTAGAAAAAATTACATAATAACAGACTGCATGGTTTTCGACATGGAAGATTCTTTGTTACGAATTTACTTAGTTTCTATGATAGTCTTTCTATGATAAAGCCACAGAGATTTTACAGGAGAGAGATAGTTAGTTGACTGCATTTATCTGAACCTTAAAAAGGCTTTTGACAGTTCCATATAAGAGGTTGTTCTGGAAACTGGAACATATTGGAGGAGTGACAGGGAGGCTTTAACATGAATGAAAAATTTTGACAGAAAAATGAAGGCAGTAATCAATGGCAATGTATCGGACTGGAGATATGTTACAAGTGGGGTACCCCAGAGTTCAGTTCTTGCACTGGTAATGTTCATTGTCTACATAAATGACCTACTAGAAGGAATACAGAATTATATAAACATATTTGCTGATGCCAAGATACATGGGAAGATAAGAAACTTAGACAATTATCATGCCCTTCAAGAATACCTGGACAAAATAAGTGTGTGGAACACCACTTAACAATTGGAATTTAATGTGAATAAATGGTATGTTATGGAATGTAGAATATTAGAAAACAGACTACCCACAACCTACAAATTATGTGAAATAGCTTCAAAAAAAATTATGATAGAGATCTAAGGATGGTTCTAGATATAAAACTATCACCTGAGGAACATATAAAGAACATAAAGAAATCCTTAGGAAGGAAATCATCCAACATCTCAGAGAACAATCTTGTAAATTTAATGCAACATGGGTTTGTTAAAAATAGATCATGCCTTACAAACCTGCTCACATTTCTGGAAACAATAACCAGCTATTCAGACAAAGGACTTCTGGTAAATGTACCTTACATGGACTTTGCTAAAGCTTTTGACAAGATACCACATAAGAGACTGCCAAGCAAATTACAGGCACATGGAATAAATGGGAGAATACAGGAATGGATAAAACAATGGTTAAAACAGAAAAAAACAAAGGTTATGCTAAATGGGAATGAATCTGACTGGAGAAATGTGGTAAGTGGGGTACCACAGGGGCACATTTTGGGGCCAACCCTTTTTGTCATATACATCAGTGACAGAGATGAGAATATTACAAGCCATATCATCAAATTTGCAGATGACACTAAAATCTGTGGTAAAGTGGGAAGTTAAAGTGATATTGAGACCTTGCAAAGAGATTTGCATGAACTCCACAAATGGTCAGAAGATTAGCAAATGCTTTTTAATGTCGATAAATGCAACACTGTGCATGTGGGGCATAACAACTGATTGATGAAGAAAAGAACCTTGGAGTCAAAATCCATCCTTCAATGAAAGTTGCACAACAAGTGGGAGTGTCAGTAAAAAAGCCATCCAAACCCAAGGAGTAATCAAGCATTTCTTCACCTTTAAGGAAAAGAAAGTAGTCAATCAATTGTACAAGTCCCCATCTGGATTATTACATCCAAGCATAGAGACCTCATCTTCAGAAAGGCATAGCTGCTCTGGAGAAGATGCAACACCGGGCAACAAAAATCATTCCAGAGCCAAGTCATCTCTCGTATCTGGAACGTTCGAGGGCCACAGGGCTAACAACACTGCAAACCAGGCATGACAGGGCAGATCTCATTGAAACACTTAAAATAATAAACAATTTGGTTGATATTGATCTGGACAATTTCTTCAAAAGGTCAAATGTAACACGCACGAGAAGCAACGGTATCAAGCTCAACAAGCCACAATGTATGACAGAACAGGAGATGCTTTTTCACCCATAAGGTTTCAAACCTAGGGAACCCCCTATTAATTGAAGCCGTAAATGCCAAAACTCTATTGGGTTTTAAAATTCAACTGGAAAAGATCATCAGGGCAACTTGGTGGACCTTTGACAAGCTGCTGACCTCCTGTTCTTGTCGAGGCCACTAGTATTAGTGGCCCTCGGGTAAATTCTGGTAAATTCAGAACATTGAGGGAGGTTTTAGTGCTATGCCTCCCAATTTAAGAATTGCATTTAAATACATGGATGGTGAAATACTAAAGAAATTGTTCATGATCTATGTAAGACCAAAGCTGGAATATGCAGCGGTTGTATGGTGCCCGTATCTTAAGAAGCACATCAGCAAACTGTAAAAGGTGCAAAGACAAACAAATAAATGGCTCCTGGAACTGAATGAAAAGTGCTACGAGGAGAGGCTAGAGACATTAAATATGCTGAAATTTGAAGACAAGAAAAAAGCAATATGATCACTATGTACACTATAGTAATGAGAATAGACAAAATTGATAAGGAAGAATTCCTGAGACCTGGAACTTCAAGAACAAAAGGTCATAGATTTAAGATAACTAAACAAAGCTGCCGAAGAAATACCTGCACTGTATTAGAAAATTCACTATCACAGAGTGGTAGACGGTTGGAACAAGCTATATGAGGCGGTGGTGGAGGAGACCAAAAACATCAGTAGTTTCGAAGCGTTATATGACAGAAAATTGGGAAGACGGGACACCACAAGCATAGCTCTCATCCTGTAACTACACTTAGGTAATTACCAATACATTAAAAGGTGCATTCATCACTGAACTGATAAATAGCAAAGCACACGGTTCTTAATGTGTGTGACTCATATCTATATCTTGTCATAAATAATTCAGGAGATATCAGAATTTGCTTTTTTATGATGAGCCTTTACAGGTTTGAAGGCAGTTTTATTCTGAAGGCAGTTTTACTTGACAAAACCATAGTAGATTATCCTAGTGTGGGGTCCCTTAGGAACAAGTGGTCCAATTGGTTTAAAGCCAATCCTGCTTCAGGCATTGGGCATCCAAGAAATTAAAATAAGTATATAACTTCCAATCTTCTATTTTTATATTTGTTTTATGGCATTTTATTTTGACAGTGCTAGGAGCAGTGTTTGGTGCAGTACCTCTGGTGGGAACTTACTGGGCAGCTATACCCGGAGTGCTGGAGCTGTGCTGGAGTCGGGGTTCTCCGACACTGGGTGCTCTGCTCTTCGGTGCTCAGCTGCTACCCATGTCATGTGTTGACACTGCTATCTACTCTGATATTAAAGGGTGAGCTAATTTTTAAGAAGAAATATAAATAAATCATCTCTGGTAATGACAGGTGCACACAATGTTACTGGGCTGAGTAAATGTTTATACAAAAACACTTTGCTGTTCATGACTGTGTGCATATTTGGTTTAGCCTTGCAATGAAGAATTCATAGCTAGTCCAGTGGTTTACCTCCCCAATTCTGCCCTTTTAATATCATTAACCCTTATCCCCTTACCAATTTTGGGCGCTACCAGCATCTTGAGCCAAGAGCAAATCGCTTAGCAATATTTTACTTCCAACATATACTACAAAGTTACTTTGATTACCCACCTATTGACTACCTGTTGGACATTTTGAGGATCAATGACCCTGTGGCCAGGTCTCTGACCAGGCCTCCTGGTTGTTGGTCTGATCAACCAGGCTGTTCGATATGGCTACTCGCAGCCTGATGTACGAGTCAGCCTGGTTGACCAGGTATCCTTTGAAGGTGCTTGTAGAGTTCTCTTTTGACCACTGTGAGGGGGTCAGCCAATTATGCACCATGTGTGTAGGGGAAGAATATTAAAACGTTTTCAGCCTTTGATGTTGATTGAATCCTTTCTCAGCATGCATATTGCACCTATGCTTTTCAGTAGGGCTATTGTGCACATCCTGCCATGCCTTCTGGTCTTATGTGGTATTGTGTCTGTGTGCAGGTTTGAAACCAGTCCTTCTAATATTTTCCAAATGTATATTATTATGTAGCTCTCCCTCCTGTCTCTGCTCTACAAAATACAGATTTAAAATTTGTAGGTGGTCCTAATAATTTAGATATTTTATTGAGTGAATTCTAGTAGTAAAAGATCTTTGCACGCTCTCCAAATCAGCACTTTCTTCATCTTTGAATGGGGCTGTTAATGTGCAACAATATTCCTTTCAAGAGATCACTAATGTCTTAAAAAGTATCATCATTAGCATGGCATCTCTTGAATGAAAGGTTCTTGTTAGCCAACCTGTCATTTTTTTGCCGTTGTTATGGCAACTTTGTTGTATGTTCTTTAACCCTTAAACAGCAGTTATCATTTTCAGGGGAAACCCCTACGGCTTCCTGGAGCTTACCAGGCTGATATGCTAATGTCAGACTTTGGCATCAGTCATGTGTACGGAGTTCTTATGGGCCTACCGGGGACCACGAGCCAGAACCTGGTCCCCTCTAGAGAGGCAAGAGGAGCAATGGCCTATAGAAACCCTGTTACGGACCCGAGCCCAGTGTCCGAGCACGGAGCTGTGACGACCACGCCATCTGTGCGTCAGCTCCCGAAACCCCCTCCAAATGGACGACGCCATCTAGCGAGGGCGGGATATACCGGCCACAGGGGCTGGTTTCCCGTCTTGATCAACTCGTAACATAGCCGCTGCTGACCTCTGGTGAGGTGACGCTTAGACAGCAATGCCATCTATGGAGTGGATAGGTGGGCGTTTGTGTCTAAGCCTGTAAGTGAGGTGCCCTAGAGTGTAACCAGTACTGATGACGTGTCTGATTACAGAGTCGACCTGGGACTGCTGAATCGGACGGTGGATCAGTCTACCCGAGGCAGCCAGAGTCTCTGCAAGTGTTTGCTGTAGAAGCTGTGAGTCACCCCCCCCCCCTCCCCCCCTCCCCCGGATGAACACTGTTATGTTAGCCTGCCTGTGACGTGGCAGAACCAGGGATTGTCGTACCCGGGGCTGACTGGTGGAGAAGACTAGCCACTGGGGTGTAGCAAGAGGAGAGTGATCAGCGGAATCACACGAGGCTCCTGCCTAGGGCTCGCAACCCTAGTATCGGTCGTGGAGTGGCCTACGCAGCGTAGCTGATTGGAACCTGCCAGCTTCAGGCTGGATTTGTGGTTGAAGGCCTCCACGACGGTGCACCCAGTGGGACTGTGATTTGGCTGGCCTGTGGCCGGGGTAGACTCGTCTAGAGAATCTAAGGATTCATCGTGAGGCCACGAGAAGAGGACCAGGGCTACTCATCGTGAGCACCGTGGAGCATCCCGTGTCTTCGGAGGAAGACGAGTGATTGTAAATAATAAGTGTAGTAATAGCAACCCCGCGTGTGACTGTGATATATTTATTTATGGTGGTGGTAGCAATATATATTTAATTTTGTGTATTTGTATCCCTTCTCCTTTAATTTACTTGCGTTACGGAACACACCCCTTGAAAGCCACTACTAACTTGGGGCCGGATACCCAAACTCTAATAACATCAGAGAAAGAACCCAGTTGCGACCCAATAGGGCCGTAACATAATTGGCATTCCCAGCGGGATACGACCCCTTGTCAAGTATGTTTGACAGGGGTGGTGAAGTGGCGCAATCCCTGTAAATAATTCCCCCTGTGTGTGACTATTAGGACGTTATACGTCCTGTGCGGTGTTCAGTGTGATATGGTGCAATATTGTAGAGTGCGGTGCCCGGTGTAATTACGTGCAACAGTGGCAAGTGAAGTGCTCGGTGCGTTAAGTGCTAAAGTGAAGCGGTGTGTTAAGTGCTAGTGCTCCAAGTGACAATGTCAGAAAAAGTGACCATCGACGATCTGGACGATGTTCAGGCCTTTCTGAACAAGGAGGACTGTCTTGCCAGATTGAAATATCTGGGGAAACAGGAACTTGTACTAGTGAGTGCCTACCTGGAGATCAAGATACGTGCCAGTGATTCCCGTGTGGAGATCTTGTCCAAGGTTCACCGGCATTTGAAGGCCGAAGAGAAAGAGGAAAGTGAGGCACAAGGTACAAACGAAAGTGAGGAAGTAGCTTCCACTGAAAAGGAAGATAAGGCCAGTGACATTGACAGTGATGCAGGTGAGCTGAATATAAGTTTACTTACCGTCAAAATGCGTGCCTTGGAAATAAATCGCGAGATAGAATGGAAGAAATTAGAAATAGAACGAGAATTGAAAGATAAAGAATTGGAGATGAGGCGTTTAGAATTAGAAAGAGAAAGAGAAGAGCGAGAAAGAGAAGAGAAACGAGAAAGAGAAAGAGAAAAGCGAGAAAGAGAAAGAAAAGCGAGAAAGAGAAGAGAAACGAGAGAGAGAAGAACGAGAAAGAGAAGAACGAGACAGGCAAGAACGACGAGACAGAGAGGAAAGAGAGAGACAACATGAGCTGGAAGTATTGCGGTTAGGCGGTGGGAGGCAAAGAATGGAAACAAGTATTTTCGATCCAGTGAGGAACATCAAAATGGTCCCAAAATTCAATGAGAAGGAAGTGTCGAAGTTCTTCGCAGCCTTCGAGAAAGTCTCAGCCTCTTTGGAGTGGCCAAAGGAGAATTGGGCCATCATGATACAGTCCGTCTTGACTGGGAAGGCCCAAATCGCTTATTCCACGTTGTCCCTTGATGACTCTGGCGACTATGACAAGGTGAAGAAGGTGGTGCTCATGGCGTACCAATTGGTACCTGAGGCGTACAGGCAAAAGTTCAGGAACCTGAAAAAGACCTCGGAGCACACTTTCACCGAATTCGCAACCATCAAGGAGCGGCTTTTCCAAGAATAGTGTGCCTCTCAAAAGGTGGAGACCAAAGAAGACCTCGAGCAGCTCATACTGTTAGAGGACTTCAAAGACTGTCTGTCTGGAGACCTGAAGACGTACTTAGAAGAGCAGCAGGTGGAGACCTTGAGTGTGGCAGCCACCATGGCTGAAGAGTACATCCTAACGCATAGGCCTTCTGCTAAATATGTCCCGAGGAATTACCCACGCCGGTTTGACAAACCTCGTCATGACGAAGAGAGACCCGTCCCACAGAGCGCTGTGAAGACGCCCCCAAGTAGCCCTCGAAGGACCAGTCCTAGCAGTCCGAAACACCGGAGTCCGAGGAGGAATATGGTATGTTGGACTTGTGGGCAGAAAGGGCATGTAGCTGCTATGTGCCGAGGCAGAAGAGGTAGCGGCCCACGTAGGGAGGTGATGTTGATGAGCTGTGTGACACCACCAGTAGGAAGCCAGTCTATTCAGGAAGAACGAGGATTGTTTTCCCCTCACACTTCAAGCTGGTATGTATCGAGTGATCATACTGGTAGATCAGTTATAGTGATCAGAGATAGTGGAGCAGCCCAGTCCCTGATCGTGAAAAACTCGTTACCCGAGGGAATGAGTGTGGATGGGAGACAAAAGTTTGTCCTGGTTGGGTTTCCTAGGACGCGGTACGTCGCCCCCTTAGTGCCGGTACATCTTGACTCGCCTTACTTCAGCGGCACATGTGCGTTGGCAGTAGTCGATACCCTACCTATAGCTGGGATTGACGTGATACTAGCCAACGACTTGGTGACAGATTGGAGCAACAATCATCCCAAGATTGTGGACGAGTCAGCCGGAACAGCAAGGTCCGAAGTAACGGCAGGCATTGGTAATATCCAGGTACGGACAGACCCGGAATTAAATATGTTTAATCCTTCCTCTCACCCACAGATCGACAACATTCTAGCAGTCTCTCCTGATTCTTCTCCCGACGAGGAACATGAGGTTAAGGAGGCAGAAGCGACTGAGCGAGAAGAGAGGCCTCGTGTACAAACACCCACGGATACCCTAGAGTCTGGAGTGAAGGCACCTGAGTACTTGCGGTATGGCAAGGTACAGCGTTCATTGAACCGGCCAGCGATTCCCCAAATGTTGGAGGTATGTGAGGTATGTGCGAAGGTTATAGTGCCCTCTTCAGTCCAAACCAGGCTAATGGATGTAGCCGGCTATGGACATTACAGGCTCAGGAAGCTTATCCCTCGGTTGGCCATATGTTTCTTAGCAGTATTTTGTCTTCTCCTCGTGTGTGTTCGCAGTAAGGACCAGTGGACGACCCGACAAATGATAGCTCCCTTGAACATCGTGAAGAGATCTCAGGGATTGGAGATTTGCACTGCGAGTGTTGCAGTCAAAGAAGGGACCTGGAAGGTGATGGTAGATACAGGAGGTACGAGATGGGATATTATGAGTGACTGTTTCCGACAGGTTGACACCCCCCGCGTGATTGCTGAGCCTGGAGGTAGCGTTATGCGGAACG